CCCGTGTGGGGTGGGCAGGGGCTGGGGGGGCGGTAGCTGGGCACGGCCCCTCCCCCCCGTGGGGGGCGGGCAGGGTCTGGGGGGCGGTAGCTGGGCACGGCCCCTCCCCCCCGTGTGGGGCAGGCAGGGTCTGGGGGGCGGTAGCTGGGCACGGCCCCTCCCCCCTGTGGGGGGCGGGCAGGGTCTGGGGGGCGGTAGCTGGGCACGGCCCCTCCCCCCTGTGGGGGGCGGGCAGGGTCTGGGGGGCGGTAGCTGGGCACGGCCCATTATTCCTTCTCGTTTCCCCCGGAGTGTGCAGAGCGCGTCTTTTAGGCACACAGATGTGGAGGTGACGTGAACACATCACACCTCCCCCTTGGCGCACCTCACAACATTATTGGAGGGGGGCTGAGCCCTGGGTCAGAGGGTTGAGGTCCTGGGAGGAGGAGTGGGGATGAGGGGCTCAGGGCTGGAGCAGGGGGTTGGAGGAGCGCGGGGTCAGGCAGATTGTGGGGCCAGAGATGAGGACTTTTGGGTGCCGGTTTCCCTGAGGTTATGGTGGGGAGAGAGGATTTCACCCTTAGTTTTCTCTCCCCTCATCAGCAGCTCCTGGGCTAGGAGGAGAAATGCCACTCCGCTGCAGCAGCTCCAGAGCTGGGGCTGCAGGATAGGTGTTTCTCTGCTGGCCCTGGAAAACCTAGGCATCCCCTCCTCCTCTCCCACCCTGTCTGTTGCAGGTCTAGGTTGGAGCTGGGCGACTTTTCTCAGCAGCAGGACTGGGCTGTGCTGGGGCCAGGGGAAAGAGGCATCCCTGCCGCAGCCCTGAGCACCTCTGCAGTGCTTAATAGACTGCTGCATATCTGAGCAGCAATTTAGGCATCTCCCCTCTTGGTGTAGGATGGAGCTTTGTGCAATTATATAAAATGGATGCTCATTCTTTTTTCTTAGCTCTCCCCCCACTAGACAAACTTTTTTTTGTCACAGCTGGGCCACAATTGTTTTTCTGCATGTAAAAGCCAGGCTGGCATTAAGGGGTAGCAAGCAGGTGGTTGCTCAGGGCTCCAAACCAATTCGCAGACTTTGGCTTCAGCCCTCAGAGGTAGGGTTTCAACTTTGTGCCTTGGGGCCCTTTGAGTCTAATGCCCCAATTGTTGGTGGACCCACTGAAAGCTGCTTGTGACCCCTTCCCCCTCCCCCAGGGAGCCTCAGACTCCTGATTGAGAGCTGCTGATACAAATAAAAGAACAAGGAAGACAGCGAGTGGGTCACTGTGCGGTGTGAATGGGGAGAAGACTAAAGGTAATCTAGGTATGTTCCTAAAATGTTTTACTTCAGTTTTCAATAAGGATTGTACCTTGGAACATGGTCAGGCATATGCTTGGGAGAGATTGTCCTGGAAAGCACTTACTTTGAAAAGGATTGGGGTGTTGTGTGAGCTAATCAACTGAACATGACCTCACAGTGTGATGTTATGGCCAAAAGAGCAAATGCATTGCTGGACCATACAGGCAGGGAAATGTGAAATAGGAGTAGAGAAGTTTTTACCTCTGTGGTACTGGTGTACATTGCTGGAATCCTGTATCCAGGTCTGGTGCCCGCAATTCAAGAAGGATGTTGATAAATCAGGAAAGGTACAGAGAGAAGCCTCAAACAGTTGAGGGATTAGAAAGTATCCTCAAGGAGCATAATTGATTTATTACAACAGAGAAGGTTAAAGGGTGACGTGATCACAGTCTATGTTTATATGGGGAACAAAAAATTTAATAATGGGCACTTAAGTCTAGCAGTCCAAGGTATAACATGATCCAGTGCCTGAAAGCTGAAGCTAGAAAAATTGAGATAAGAAATAAGGTTTTAATTTTTTACAGTGAGAGTAATTAGCCAATAGTACAATTTATCAAGGATTGTGGATCTCCATCAGTAGTAATTATTAAATCAAGGGTGGCTGTTTTTCTCAAAAATCTGCTCTGGGTATTATTTTAGGGAAGTTCTCTGCCCTTTGTTTTATAAGATGTCAGGTTATGGTCGCAGTGGTCCGTTTTGGTATTGGAATGGATGAATAACAACGAGGAGTCCTGTGGTACCTTAAAAACTAACAGATTGACTTGGGCATAAACTTTTGTGGATAAAAAATAGGTATGTAACTGGCTACTTAACTAGTCACTCCCCCCCTCCCCCCGCCCCTAACAGAGGCAGCAAGGTGGGGGAGCAGGAGCCAATGCTTGGGGGAGCTGACTTAAAAGCACAGTGGGGGACCAGGCGTGAGCCAGGAATCAGCTGTCCGAGCTCATGCCTGGTCCCCGCTGTGCCTCTGCCTTTTAAATGTAGTAAGAGCGAGGCAGCTGTTCCTATGTTTAAAAAGCAGAACCACAGCCGGGTTAGGTCCTGGGGCCAGAGAATTCCATTGACTACTTGATTACCTGATTAAACAAAATGTAACATCCCTAGTGGAAAAAAAAAATTGTCAGATACATAGATACATTTGACAAAGCGCTTTTTACTCACGAAAGCTTATGTCTAAATCAATCTGTTAATCTTCAGGGTGCCAAAGGACTCCTTGTTTTTGTAGATTCAGACTAAGATGGCTACCCCTCTAAGACCTGAATTAATAAAGGTATTCAGTAGTGTTGATGTCAAGACAAATCTTTGAGGAACGCAGCTAATAATTTTCTTTCAGTCAGATAGTTGGTTTTTCAGCACATGCCATTGTCTTCGCCCCTCTAGCCAGTTCCTTAGCCAATGCTTGTACTGATTAGGGATATTTAAAAGTTGTTTAATAAAGGTAACCGCCAAAAATTGTAGTGGTTACATGTGCTGCGATCTCTGCAGTATAAATCTTAAATAGGCTTCATGCTACAAGAGCCCACAGTGAAGCCTCCCCCATTAGCGGAGCTGCCAGCTCTGTTCCCGGGGAAGCGGCTTTGCTGCGACAGCAAAGCCACCTCCCTAGAAGCAGGGCAGTTTAATCGATAACAATAACTGATAAACATCAGCTTAAATGCTAGCAGCCCTAGTACTGATGCCTGTCTTCCTTAATTTTACTAATACTGTACCAAACAGGAAATTATCATGTGCTTTATTGAGGCTTAGGTAAATTAAATCTACTTCAGTTCTCTTATCTAAAAATGGATTATTTTCTCAATGAAAGTTTTCAGATTAGTTGGGCATGATCTACCTTTGGGAACCCATATTGCATTACATCCCCTTCTCCGTTTGCCTCTAGGAATTTAATGATTGTTTGCTTCATAATTCAAAGATGCACATTCTATTGAAGTCAGACTAACAGGTCTGTAGTTGTCCAGAATTTTTTCCTTTCTCAAATATAGATAAAATGTTAGCCATTTTCTTGCTCTATGATGCTATCCATGCGCTGCTGCAAGTTAAAAAAATCCCCCTGCCAGTTCTTGCAGTATTATGGGAGGGAAACTATCCAGTCCCACTGATTTGAGAGCGTTAAGCTCTTTAAGATTATGTTCCACCTCAGATGTGTTAATTTCAATTTCTAAACACTCATTTCCATCAACTCTGTTGCCTTCATGATGCGTTTTATTATTTGTTGTTATTTTTCAAAGAGATGTTAAGGCGACAAGTGCAAACTAGCCTACTGCATAGGAAAGATAGGAGGCAGGGCAAGAGACCACCCTGTCTTTACCAAGAGATTTTCAGTGATCTGAAATTTAAAAAAAAGTAATACAAAAAATGGAAACTCGGTCAGAGTATAAGAAATGAATATAAACAAACATCAGATATATGGAGGGACAAAATTAGAAAAGCCAAGACACGCAACGAATTAGCTAGAATCATAAAGCGTAACTAAGGATACTAAAATGTGGTTATCAGGCTCATGCTGGCTCCAGGAGCCACCCACGCTGAGGCTCTGCATTTTAAATGTAGTAAGAGTCGCTGGGCTCTTATTGCATTTAAAATAGAGGCGCAGCAATCAGCGCAAGCTGGGACTGCATGGTCCTGGCTCTCACTTGAGTCCAGCGGACCCTGTTCATGGCGGCCAACCCGCGGGCAGTGCCTGTTCCAGCAGTAGCCTCTTTCCACAGCCAGCCTTGGCTGCTGCGTATAGGGGCTGCTTCTCAGCAGCCTGCCCTATTCCCCCCTCCCCCCTTCCTCTGATAGGCCTGCTGGCCCCACATTCCCACTGCAGCATTTCAGCCTTTGAAATGTACAAGAGACCCACAGGAAGTAAGGTGGGGGGGAGTGACTTCAGGAAACCCCCAAGATGTGACCGCCTGAGTTGCGACTCCCGCACTTAACCATTTTTGTAAGTGCGGAAGGAGCCAAAACCCCCCAACTTACGTCCTCAGCCCACATTTACGATGAAGCACAATGCCTATCGTAAATGAGGGTTCAAGTTACAGCGCTCCCGCCTTGCAACGCTTCCCCAGGAACCGATCGCATTGCAAGTCGGGAGCTGCCTGTAGTCACGTCACTACTTAACTGTCTGATAAGCTTATGCTTAGAGCAGACTCCTCAGAGCGACAGCCCAACCTGCTGCTGCTATCACTGCTCAGTTCCTGGTAGAACAGAGTTTCTTTTCTTTTCCAGGAAGTTTTTGGAGAATGTTAGGGATAACTTCTTGGTACAAGTGCTGAAGGAACCGCCATGGGGCAATGCGCAGCTTGACCTCCTGCTCACAAACAGGGAGGAACTAGTAGGGGAAGTAGAAGTGGGTGACCAGCTAGGAAGCAGTGATCATGGGATGGTAGATTTCAGGATCCTGACCAAAGGAAGAAAAGAGAGTAGCAAAATACACACCCTGGACTTCAGAAAAGCAGACATTGACTCCCTCAGAAAACCGATGGGCAGGATTCCCTGGGATGCTTACATGAAGGGGAAAGAAGTCCAGGAGAGCTGGCAGTATTTTAAAGAAGCCTTATTGAAGACACAGGAAGAAACCATCCCGATGCGCAGCAAGAAAAGCAAATATTGTAGGCGACCAGATTGGCCTACCGGGGACATCCTTGGTGAGCTTAAACACGAATAGGAAGCTTACAAGAAGTGGAAATTTGGACAAATGACTATGGAGGAGTATAAATATATTGCTTGAGAATGTAGGGGAGTTATGAGGAAGGCAAAAGCACAATTGGAATTGCAGCTAGCAAGGGATGTGAAAATAATTAAGTTAGGTCACTAGGGGTCAGCCCAGCCGGTTTGGGCTGGTTCTAGTAAGTTCTGTGTCATGCAATAAAATGGACACTGGCAACTAGTGAAGCTCACTGTGTTTCCAATGATTTCTTCCTCAACCGTGGAACGCCACACGGAATAACCAAGTGGTGACAAGAATGGGAAACCTGTGCTGCCTCCAGCAACAGAAGCAGTAGAAGTCAGTGTAAGGAAATAAAGCTTTTAGCTGTTCTGGAAGGTGGGGGTAAGAACTGACTGCTTGTACTGACAGTGCAAACTGAAGCGAAGATCAGTGGAGCCGAGAGACTGGGAGGGAGGGAGAGAGAGAGAGAGAGAGAGAGAGAGAGAGAGAGAGAAAGAAAGAAAGAAAGAAAGAAAGAAGGGAATTGCAGCAGCCATGGCTACACTTACAGGGCCGCTGGGACCTTTTGAGGAGACTGTGAGCAATGGCACGTACATAGTGAGCGTTTTGAGCTTTTTGTTATTGAGAATGATATTAAGGGTGTGTCTAGACTACAGAGTTTTGTCGACAAAACTATACCTGCGTCTACACTACCGCTGAGTTCTGTCGACATAACGTTGACAGAACTCAGCAGTTTTGTCGATGCTGGTAAACCTCATTTTACGAGGCATAACGCCTTTTTTCGACAGAGTTCTGTCGACAGAAGGTGTTATTGCATCTAGGGTTGTGGCTAGACTACAGGGTTTTGTCGACAAAGTGAATGTAGTCTAGACGCTCTTTGTCGACAGAAGTTTTGTCGACAGTATCTGTCGACAAAACTTCTGTCAACAAAAGCCTGTAGTCTAGACGTACCCTAAGGAAGAGAAGAAGGTGTCAATACTTTTAAGTGTTGTAGTGGCTAAAACCTACTTTCTGCTACACTGCTCCCTGTTAAGCCAGAGACCAAATCTTAGTGTGACGTTGGAGAAATCCTGGGGTCACATTATGCTCCAAAACCACTGGTAATTGCAGAAAGGTCTAGGTTCCATAACAGAGGCCAAAAAGAAAGTGAAACAGCTGTAGAATTTGTAGCAAATTTGTAAAAGCTTGCGGCACTCTGAATTTAAGGAGATGTTAAATGATGCCATACGGGGACAAAGGTCTGCCATGGGGCAGGACCCCCGGCCAATGTTTTCCAGGAGAGGCAAAGTCCAGGTGCTTACCTCCTTCCTGAGCATGGGAGAGACGGGACAGACTGAGTTATGTGGCAACACACAGAAGGACATTGCTCCCCATGCCATGCCCGGCCCATGCTCTGCAGCCTGCCCCCAGCAAGTTCCAAAACAGACTTCAAAGAGAAGCTGCAGAGCTACAATTCATTTGCAGTCTGGACACTGTCAGTTTAGGATTAAACAAATGATTCAGATATTGGCATAGAAAGTACGCTTATTAAGTTTGCAGATGATACCAAACTGGGAGGGGCTGCGCCTGCTCTGGAGGATAGGGACATAATTCAAAATGATCTGGACAAATTGGACAAATGGTCTGAGGTAAACAGGATGAAGTTTAATAAAGACAAATGTAAAGTGCTCCACTTAGGAAGGAACAATCAGTGTCACACATACAGAATGGGAAGTGACTGTCTAGGAAGGAGTATGGCAGAAAGGGGTTATAGTGGACCACAAGCTGAATATGAGTCAGCAGTGTGATGCTGTTGCAAAAAAAGCAAACATGATTCTGGGATGCATTAACAGGTGTGTTGTGAGCAAGACACATTTCAAGAAAGATGTGGAGAAATTGGAGAGGGTCCAGAGAAGAGCAACAAGAATGCTTAAAGGTCTAGAGAACATGACCTATGAAGCAAGGCCTCCCACAATATTCTTGCCAGCAAGTTAAAGAGTATGGATTGGATAAATGGACTGTAAGATGCATAGAAAGCTGGCTAGACTGTTGGGTTCAACGGGTAGTGATCAACGGCTTGATGTCAGGTTGGCGGTCGGTTTCTAACGGAGTGCCCCAAGGATCAGTTCTAGGGCCGGTTTTGTTCAACATTTTTATTAATGACCTAGATGAGAGGGTGAATTGCACCTTCAGCACGTTTGTGGATGATACTAAGCTAGGGAGAGAGGTAGATACACTGGAGGGCAGAGATAGGGTCCAGAGTGACCTAGACCTATTGGAGAATTGGTCCCAAAGAAATCTGATGAGGTTCAACAAGGACAAGTGTGGAGTCCTGCACTTGGGAAGGAAGAATCCCAAGCATAGTTATAGGCTGGGGACCAAATGGCTAAATAGCAGTTCTGCAGAAAAGGACCTGGGGATTCCAGTGGATGAGAAGCTGGATATGAGTCAACAGTAACCAAGAGGGCTTGTAACCCTTGTTGCCCTTGTAACCAAGAGGGCTAATGGCATATTAGGTTGCATCAGGAGGAGCATTGCCAGCAGATCTAGAGAAGCGATTATTCCCCTTTATTCGGCTCTGGTGAGGCCACACCTCTAGAGTATTGTGTCCCCAGTTCTGGGCCCCCCACGTTCAGCAGAGGGCGACCAAAATGATTAGGGGCTGGAGCGCATGAGGAGAGCCTGAGGGATTTGGGTTTTAGTCTGCAGAAGAGAAGAGTGAGAGGGGATTTGATAGCAGCCTTCAACTTCCTGAAGGGAGGTTCCAAAGAGGATGGAGGGAGACTGTTCACAGTAGCGATGGATGGCAGAACAAGGAGCAATGGTCTCAAGTTACAGCGGGGGAGGTCTAGGTTGGATATTAGGAAAAACTATTTCCCTAGGAGGGGGATGAAGCACTGGAATGGGTTACCTAGAGAGGTGGTAGAATCTCCATCCCTAGAGGTGTTTAAGTCTCGGCTTGACAGGGCCCTGGCTGGGATGATTGAGTTGGGGTTGGTCCTTCCTTGGGCAGGGGGCTGGACTTGATGACTCCTGAGGTCTCTTCCAGCTCTATGATTCTATGATTGTGCCCACAGCTTCCTGGGCAGTGATTGGGGCAGGGTGGGGGGAACAAAGCAGAGGCCCGTCTCCTGGGGTAACAAGGAAGGGTTGGGCGTGGCCCCTGCCCCCTCTTGAGCCACAAATGCTGGAGAAGCAGGCAGCTGGTGTGAGATCCTCACTTTCCCAGGGGCAGTGGGGTTTAGGCTTTCAGTGTCAGCCCTTGTGAAGCAGGTGGCAGGCTTTGGCCCCTTGCTCTGGGGGGCTTTGGGCTTTAGATTTTGGCTGCACAGCAGCAGGCTCCATTCCTTGCACAGTAGGCTTCAGGCCCATTCCCCCCTCCTCCTTATCTCCCCTGACCCCCAGTGCCTCCTTCTCATACCCCCATCCAAGGCTTACTTTGTCCCCCAGCTTGCCAGGACTGAGTAAGTCTGCTGTGAAAAATGATATTTCTACGTTTGTTAATGTCACTTTTCGCTGCCTCCCACCTAGCTAACAAGCCTGCTGCTGTTAGAAGTAACATTAACAGAACATACACCTACCACACAACCGGACTGACTTGCTTACAAGTCTAAATAACCCCCCCTCCCACAACAACAAAAAAGAGGGGGCGGGGCAAAGCAAATAACCAAAAAGACAAGAATGTGCAAAGCATCTTATTGGGTTTCTTCTCTGTAAACAATAGAAACAGCTGTACATTATTAGTGATACTGCAAAACCCCCTCTGATTTATGCATGTGCACATATGCTTTTTTCTCAAGTTAAGTATTTTAGGAAAAAATGTCGAAGTGGCTCAAGCACGAGTTGGTGGCCACACTCTGAGGCCACCAAAATTTTTATTGTGAGATTCCCTGTGAGACAAAAAGCTTCCTAATTGCCAACGTAGTTAAGAACTGCAATAAAATGTCTCAACAGGTTGTGGAATTTCCATCCCTGGAGATTTTTAAGAGCAGATTAGAGACACAATGGTCAGGGATGGTCTAGATAATACTTAGCCGTTTCTTCTGGTCCTACACACCTATGAAATGAGGTGATTGTATGTTGGGGCTGCTTATGGTAGGGTAGGGGACAAGGCTCTTCAGCCTTGATGCCCTCTTCTGATTCATATAAAAATGGCCATACTGGGTCAGACCAAAGGTCCATCCAGCCCAGTATACTGTCATCCAACAGTGGCCAATGCCAGGTGCCCCAGAGGGAGTGAACAGAACAGGGAATCATCAAGTGATGCCTCTCCTGTCACCCATTTCCAGCCCCTGACAAACAGAGGCTCGGGACACCATTCCACCCAACCAGGCTGTTAAGTATTGATTGACCTATCCTCTGTGAGTTTATCTAGGTTTTTTTTTTAACCTGGCTAAAGTCCTGGTCTTCACACCTCTGGCAAGGAGTTCCACAGGTTGACTATGCGCTGCATGAAGAAATACTTCCTCTGGTTTGTTTTAATCCTGCTACCTATTAATTTCATTTGGCGACCCTTAGTTCTTATGTTATGGGAACAAGTAAATAAGTTTTTCTTGTTCACTTTCTCCACACCTGTCATGATTTTATAGACCAAAAAGTCCCAGTCTTTTTAATCTCTCTTTATATGACTCCTGTTCCATACCCCTAATCATTGTTGTTGCCCGTTTTTGAACCTTTTCCATGCCAAGATATCTTTTTGGAAATGAGGTGACCACATCTGTACTGGGGAGGTAATAGTGTAGTCGATTAACCATTTAACCGATAAGCAAAAGCATAGAGGTTAATTCTATAGAATACATGCATGTCCCTCCCCTCGCCCTTGCCAGTAAATTTTTTAGCAGCCCGGCTCAGTTCTGGCTCACACCGGGTCGGGGTGGTACCTCTGCTGCTGCTCTGCTTTTAAAGTGTATTAGGAGCCAGGTAGGCAGGGAGCCCAGCTCAGTTCCGGCTTCCACCGGGTGTAGGTCCGGAGCTCAGACCCCTCCTTAGACAGGGGCTGCTGCCTCTTTATCAGAGGCAGCAGCATTGGGTGACAGGCAGCTAGTCCACAAGGGGGACTGGCTCCCCTCATGGACCAGCTCCCGCCTCCCCCCCTGTGCTGCCGCCTCTGATACAGTGGCTGCTGGCCCCGCCCCCGAGGACTATAGAATAATCGACTAACTAATAAAAATTCATGAGGTTACTCGACTATTCAGTTAACTGACATTTAACATTCCTAATCTGTCCGCAGTATTCAAGATGTGGGCGTGCCATGGATTTATACAAAGGCAATAAGAAATTTTTGTCTTATTCTCTATCCCTTTTTCAGTGATTCCTAACATTCTGTTGGCTTTTTTGACTGTTGCTGCACATTGAGTGGATGTTCTCAGAGAACTACCCACAGTGACACCAAGATCTCTCTCTGGAGATGTCAGGCAGTTAATGGGGCAAAAGAGTGCTGGTGTTTGAGAATTCCCTTCCAGGTGTCTGGGTGAAAGCTATTTATCTTTGATTTATGCCCTTCTTGTGTCCTTTTCATGCAGGAGCTTGTCAACTTCTTCAAGGAGAAGGTCAACCAGGCGTGATGTAGCTGCTGCCTCTCTTGGATTGTGAATATTCCTTCAGTAGGTCCATTGACGGTGAGGAAACCCCTCTGCCCTTGACCCTCAGGCTAGAGATGGCAAACATGGAGCTGGGCACTTGGGAAGTTCCCTTGTACACTTGGGGTCAAAACAGCAGCAAAGACTATTCAGCCAGTTGAGCTCCTGGCTTGTCTGACTCTCCTCGTGTCTTGGCCGTGATGTTGGGGGTGAATGTGAACTCCTTGCAGAGCTGGAAGAACTCCTAGCCTGTTTCTGCAGCTCAGGTTGGAGGGAGCCCATTTACTGGCGTCAATTGGGTAGTTCTGATGAATTTGTGCCGAGGACAGCTCTCCTACACACAGCGCGTTTCCCCTCAAGGGAGGGACCCCAGCCTTTGCTCTGTATATTGTAACCAGGCATCGTGTCTGTCCAGGTCCCTGACCTGCTGCGTCTCTTCCTTTAGGATCCTCTTCCCTCAGTTCGTGGGCTGTGCTGAGCAAGTGTTGCTCCCAGGTCTCCACATTGCTGTTTTGTGAGTATCCTCACTCCCCAGCTGGTGCCTCCTCTGAGGTGTCTCTTGTGTTTATTCCCCTGTTGGGCTGGACACTGAAAGTGTCTCTGCAGAAGGGCTGGGTAATGTTCAGAGGGTGAGGAAGGACCTTCTGAGCATGTGGTATGAAGTGAACAGAAAGGGAGTTAATGGGGCTTTTCAGTCCCTTGCCTCCAGCCCAGAGCTTTCGGGGCTTGTCCTGATGTGGGTGCAGCCTACTTCTGCAGGCCGTCTTTGGGGTGTTTACGATGCAAGCACCTGTCTGGCTTGCACTCAGCCTTCAGAGCAAGGAGTGCCCAGTAGCCTGGGCTGTGGGAGCCCTGGGGTCAATTCCTGCCCCATCACAAACATCCCATCTGATCCTGGACAAGTCACATAGTCTCTCTGTGCAGTGGGGGTAATAATCCCAGCCTGCCTCACTAGGGCATGAGAATAAGTACATAAGAAACTGACGTAACCCTGGATGAGTAGACGTTCCTGCTGCCCCCACTCGCTCCCTCTCATGGGGTATTTCCTTTGGATTAGCTATCTCTATGCTAAGATGTTTTTCTCCTTTTGTTTCCAACCTGTGTCTCTAATCTCGGTGCATTATCTTGCTGCCCCATCGGCGCTCCCACTTCCTCCCCACTTGGTGGTCTGTGGCATGCAGTAACCTCACTGCCACAATCCCCTTCCAGCCTGACTGGCCAGTCTGAGCCAAGAGGTTGTTTTCACCCGCTCAGCTAGAGACTAAATAGACCCCACTGAGCAGTCATTGCCAGAGGCTGGGAGTAGGTGACAGGAGGGATGGCTGCAGAACTGCCTGTTCTAGTCATTCCCTCTGAAACGCTGGCATTGGCCACTGGCGAAAGACAGGACACTGGCCTAGTGGACCATTGGTCTGACCCAGTCTGGCTTTTTAGTTCAGCCCACTTCTCCAGGATGCTGTGACTCTCCTATTCACGGCCCTTGCCTGACACTATCCTCCGTACACTTTGACCTAAAGACTTGGGCTCTTGGAGTCTCTGGGTGGGTGCCATGAAGCAGATTTTCCCTTGTTTATTATGGTCTCTCATAGCGTCTCTGTCTCGATCCTGGAATGAGGAGCGCGGCGTGGTGCTTTTCTATCCTAGAATATTTAGCCTGGTCTACACTACTCACTTACATTGGGTGTAACACTGTTGCTCAGGAGTGTGGAAAATCTTGCCCTGCCCTCTGTGTGATGCAGTTATACCAACCCATCTTCTGGTGGACACAACGCTATATCAATGAGAGGGCTTCTCCTGTCAACACAGCTACCGCTTCTTGGGGAGGTGGAGTAGCTGCACCAACAGGGAAACTCTCCCACCAGTGTAGATCAGGGTAGGCGAATACCAGCCTGTGCAAGTACGGGCACTTGCAGCTTCCGTTAGTTGGGAATGGCGATTTGCGGCCAATGGGAGCTGCAGGAAGTAGGGGTATGTCTACACTACAGCACTAATTCGAACTAAACTAATTCGAACTAGTGCATCTAGACCTAAAAACTAGTTTGAATTAGCATTTTGCTAATTCGAACTAGCATGTCCACATTGAGTGGACCCTGAACCCGAAGTTAAGGATGGCCGGAAGCAGTGCCGGCAGGGCATCAGATTAGGACTTAGAGCGTGGAGCTGCTGTCTCAGGCTAGCCGAGGGCTGTGCTTAAAGGGACCTGACCCCCACCCCGGACAGACAGTTCTCAGGGGTTCCCCGCTTGTTTGTCTAACTGGATGAGGGACAGCAAAGCAGTCCTGGCTTGGAGTGCCCTGAATGCCCACACTCGGCACATCACAGCACTCAGCCATCAGCCCGGCTGCACTTGCCGCAGGCTGCCATCCGGGAGG